CATGCAAAATTAAGCGGTGATTAAGGAACAAACTTTCTTCAACCAGTTAAGAGAGCGAATGCCGGCTTTCCGTCACTTTCTCCCTCCAAACACAGCCACAAAAAATATGTATAGCACATCTCAACAGATATGCAACAAGACGTTCTGAGAAGAATCGCCTATTTTCCTTCGATACGACACGGACCACATTGAAAACGACGCCTCCAACAATTCTTCTATTCTTGTATCAGTGTATTCGTTGCCGCGTTTTTTTACTGAGCCGTTGCCTAGCAACGATAGGGGGATACACATATACACTTGGTCGCCGACTTACAACGGACTTCCGTTCTTAGCGGGTGCTGTGGTTAGCGGTGGCGCTGTAATTGCTTGTAGTTCCAAATGGAGTGTGGAAGTGGTCAATAAATCCATTCCCCATTCCAATGCCCGTCTATAGCCACTCTAAATGGCGACAGTATTAACAAAGTTGATATTTTTACGAATATGAAAGACGTCATTCAGATTATATGAGCTGCTAAAATTCCAGTTTGAGGGGTCACAAACTTAGCAAAATTATTTGCAGAAATTCTTTTAATCCACGGATTAAAGAATATTAAGTAAAACGATCCCTGTAACAGACCGTGGAGGCCTGTAAGGTTGTGAGACGTCGAAGCTCCCATATTTTCTAGACAGCTCACATATGGCGGTGAGGTTGTCAGCCATGCGCCGGCCGCCCTTTACCCCCCCAGAAAAAAATTCCTCGCATTCATTTCTGTTAGAGGCTGATTCGACTCCAGGGGCGTAGTGCGGCTGGAAGGATTAAAAGAAAGTTTAATGCAAGTATAACAAGCCAACGGTTTTGATAATTATACCGAACTTTCAGTATTTTCCCAGCAAAATTTTGTGCATCTCCGAGCTAGAATGCTAAAGCGAAAGTGACTCACTGTGAAGTACAATTTTACCTACTTTCTCTGGGGGCACACATATCGATAAAACATGACAAGTATAACTCCGAAGGGCGTTCCGTTCGCAAACAGTACGAGACAGCTTCCCACGCAATTCGTGTCTGCAGGATCTTGCCATTTTTATCTTGAGAAGTGCCCGCATTCAGTTCCTAATGAACCGATTCCCACCCTTCGACTTCACTATCAGATTGTGTAACACTTAAATAACACACTTTCGTCATGCCAGAGCCATTCTTCTCTCTGAACACCAACACAACAAGTTTCATGATTCAGTCAACATGAAGCATAAATGTGTTTCACTTTCAACGGACGAAAAGCTTAAACTTTTCTTCTAACACCTCAGACAGTGTTACAGAACATTTTCTATACTCTATCGGTATTAAGTATTAAGCCCTTCTTGAGAAGCTGTCTACTCTGCAGCTACTCAAGAACTTCCAGCATTTTATAGAACCCAAAAGTTCATTACCATGTCCACAAGAGTTCTCCACTGGTCCCTATCCTGAGCCGGATAAATCCGGTCCATATCATCCCATCCATCTTAATATTGTCCACCCACTTCCGTCTTGGTCTTCCTAGTGGTCTCTTTCCTTCTGTCTTTCACAACAGCAGTCTTCAACGCTCCATTAGTGCTACATGCCCTTCCAGTCTCATCCTCTTTGTCTCTATCATTCTAATTATACTTGGCGAAGAGTACAAGTTATGAAGCCACTGTATCACACAATGAACTTAATTAACCAACCCCGTGAGTTCTTCTGTCGCTCACCCTTCAAGGAATTCGGCTTTAAAGCAAGAGGCCTTGTATAGTATTTCGGAGTTATCGTTCTCTTCAGCACAGCTTCCAGACCGACTCTGGGATCAATCCAGCTTCAAGTGCAATGGATACCTGGTCTCTTTCCGCGGGAGAAAAGCGGGTAACTACCTCCGCCTAGCGACGTTGTTAACAATTGGTCTTTGTGCCGTGACGCTTAATCAAGAAGAAAATTTTACGTCCTTTACCTTAAAGTAACTCATTTTCCTAAGCGAAAGCATGCAGATACACAGCTTCACGCATTCCACATGTCGACGATAGGCTCAGGTGAGATGTTCTTGTTACGGCCGGATTACCCCTTTTAAAAAGAAAATAGTAGTTTGCATCGAAATCCCATCATAGTGGACTCAAATTCTAGATATAAGATAGGGCAAATAAGATTCAAGCGGGGTTAGACGATTCGTAAATTTCCGATCACACAGTGCCTAGTATAACGCGAATAAATTTAGTCACAGAAGAAATGTTTTGTTGTGCAGACACCGGTTCCCTATTCTGAGTCAAATGAATCTAGCCCACAACTCACGTGATTGAGTAACTCTTTGATATAGCGCGTGATTACACTTTACAGTTCAATGTTACACAGATATATACGCACAGTGTTCACAATCACGTCTTTACTAGCCGTTGTTCGTTAGCGGCTTCCAACGGTGGACGTTCCCCTTCCTTTGGGTTCGTTAGCGGCTTCCAACGGTGGACGTTCCCCTTCCTTTGGGTTCCCAAACTGTCCCCGATCCTCAGCAGTTCTCTAACTCACTGAATCACCAACCAACCACACTTTAATTCACTCATCTCCTAACTGTCCTGCTTATAAAATCCTGGCACGGACTGCACAGAAAACACCGTTCATGTTGCTGTATCCAATTGCTGTCATAGAAACACGCTTGTTTGTTGTATAGCTGATTCTGTCGAGGTCCTTCCATAGCAATGTGCCTACGTTGCATAATATTTATTTAAGATCCGTGTTAATATTGCCGCTATCCTCCCATCTATGTCTAGGCCTTCATAATGGCCTCTTTCCTTCAGGTTTTCCTACCAAAATTTTGAATGCGCTTCTCTGCCACGCGTGTTCCACGTTCGGCCCATCTCACCCTCCCTGATTTGGCTTCAAATATCTCGATTCCTTGTCCTTAGCGGTTCTATCTCCACACTTCGAGGAACAGAGAAAGCATAGAGATATGTTTGAAACATGAATAGTGAATACGGGAGAAAGAACAAAAGGGATCTGTTTTCTTTCTAACTTCGTTATGTATGATTTTAGGTTCTGAGATCAATGTTTATGAGGATATAACGCCGTATAGTCCGTTGAAAGTCAACCGACGTTTCGTAAGAACACATTGCCTCCACTGATAGAGTCGAAAAAAACACTCTGCTTGCTACCGGCTTCACGCTGGTCTCTTGCTTGACTTATTCCTCGACCCCGAAGATGGAGGTAAGACGTTACGAAATGTCAGTTGACTTTCGACGGACTACACGTCGTTACACTACAATAGATAAAATTCTTCTTTTGTGGTGTTACTCAGTTTAATCACAGACGTGCAACCGTTATGCCCAAAGCAAATAAATGTGTTTATAACTTGAAAAATAATGGAAATCTGAGATAATGCCATTAAAAAGTAAGGAGACGATTTGCCGGAGAGTACAAATTATGAAGCTCCTCATTACGAGACCTGCCCGTACGTATAAAACACAACAATCGCTTCTGAAACCTTTCGTAAAGAGAAGCGCCTAATGATCACTGTACATCTCTACAATATCGCGGCGGCACTTTGTTGAGTGCTCTATTCGCGTGACAAACGTGATCACAACAATAATAATAATAATAATAATAATAATAAGATAAACGTAATACCGTCCCTGTGCTTAATTACTTAAGCACTATGGCATGAAGGTGTATGTGGCAGTGGATGTATAAATACACATTTTCTTGACCTAGGCACTAGATGGAGGTGTGGTCAGCTTCACGCCCCGGCGGCTTTACTCCCAGGGAAAGAGCAGCTGGTACCTATTGGATAAGAGGTTGAGTGGGCCCCAGAGCCGGTCTGGACGTTTGGTGAAGAGAGAGATATTGACCCATAATAATAATAATAATAATAATAATAATAATAATAATAATAATAATGCAGCCCAGATTTATGTAGCCTATCTCTTTCCGATCCGATTGATTTCATTTTTAAGAATTTTTAGAATGTATGACTGAAATAGTTCAATATTTCTCTCACGTTCAAATACGTCCAGCCAAAATATGCAAGTTTTAACTGTGGTCTCTCTCATCACTTCCATGAACGACCAACTCTTTTGTTTTAGGCCACATTTATGAAGTATTTATATGCCTATCATACTAGCCAATGTCCACTATGTCCAGTATATTTGGTATATATGCCCTTTCGAAAAATGGAAGTGACCTAACACGATATTCGTATGATGAACCACAAACAGACTGAGTACAAAATATTTTTGGGGTACAGAAATTTCCCATCGTACCATTGGATTTCATTTTAAATACAAAAGGCTGTTATTACATATAATTTATGACTCAATTTTATTGTTACGTGCTCATCACTCTTAACACCCTATATTAATTCTGTCAGGAAGAAAAGGCATGTTTTCCCCTTTCGTTTGCGATAATTTCGGAAAGTGGGGGGGGAGGGATTAAGCCCATAAACTACCCCTTCAAACATCCCTGTTTGTATATGAAGCGATATTTCATAAGAATGACATTAGGGGTTACTGTGTTGACAAAATATGGCTACTGACCTGTGTTCCGGAGGTCCCCTGTTCGAATCTCGATCAGGACATTAGTGTCGCGAGTTTTTGTGGATCTGTTAAGTTCCTCCAGCCAAAATTGAGGATTTTATTGGGGAGCACGACCGCTCCCTTTCACACCCTTTCCAGAATAATTATTCATGAATACTCCTGATATCCCACGCTATAGTCTCAGCTATTGACAGCGCCTTAAATTCGCGAATATACAGTAACACACAACAAGAACATGCCTACGTATACGATACGTTTACTAGGAAAATTCAATTTTTTTTTTTTTTAATGAATACAGAAAGAGGCTTCTACGGTCTCATTACAGAACTGGTTCACTTAATGGCCCATCATTTGGTTAACTAAAAATACACAAAACCAGAAGCGAAAGTAAGCATCAGTAATTCACGGACGTTGGCAATTAATTCGAAAGGAAACTTAACTGGGATTAAGAGTAAACGTAATGAAAACATGCGCGAGTCACCACAAAATGTACTTACCTGAGCTACACAGTTAAGCGTTCACGCGCGTCACACCAGGTAGGCCTGCGCGCCACTGCTATCCATGACAGGGCCGGCTCCGGCAGTCCTCCACGGATGCCTGTGCTGTTGGTGCACGCCAATCACGCCCCTACGGAACCCCGACGCGTCTCTTTCTAACGTAGAATAGTCTGAGTCTATTGAGGAGTAAATGTGCTCCGATATGGGGCGAGGGCTGGAGGTGGATTCGGAAGAATCAGGGCCCGCAGTCGCCCCCCTCATGAAGTTATTTTGGGGGTGGTGTTTCACTTGGTAATTATGCCTGTGAGCTGGTCTGGGAGAAGGGGTGGCGGTGGTAGCAGACGAGTAGTTAGCATCGTCGTTGTCGTGTCGCGCTTCTTGGTGGTTGTTCTGATGTTTGTGAGGCGTTCTTGGCAGCGTCGTTGTCGAGGAATATGCAGGAGGGGACATTATGTGTGCCGCGTCGTTATTGGTGGCAGCGGCGGCGGCGGCGGCAGACTGGAACAGGGGGTGGTTATTAATGTGCATCTGCAGGTTTTGTGACGCAGAATGCGGAGTTTTGGTCTTCTCTAGATAGGCGTGGTGATGAGCACCGTTGCCGACTCCAGAATCTAGGGTGTAATTATTGATATTGCGTCGGTACATGGAACTTTTGCGTTGGCTGTCGCCGTTAGGCATTGCATACCTCAGTCTTTCCCAGAATCTCTTCTCACCCCATCGAACTCGAGCTCCAGTCTTCAGATAAGGCCTTAGATCGGGGTCCAGTTCTGCTTCTGGCAGGCTACTACTTTCTTCTACAAGTACTAACTTAAAGATTCGTCCCTTGAGGGCTTCATGAAGTGCTGAACGGAACTCAAAGCGCGACCATTCTGTCTGAAGGAAGTTACGGGACAGGACAAGGATCACTCTTCGACTGGCGTCTGCCGCTTCCAACACTACGGGAGAGGCTGAGTGCTGAACGTAGGAGTGATGAACCAGATCACGGTAATGCAGACACAACTGGAAAGATGGGTTTCCATGTTCCAGCTCAGCAACGATGGACTGCAACACAAATTCCTCGTCTTTTGGGCTGTAACACACGTAACCGTCGTATAACTTCTCTCTCTCCTCCTCACAGTGTTTGGAAGAGCTCGCTTTGAAGTGAAATAGACGGATGCCATATCGTGAGTACACCCACACCCTCACTGGTTCTCGGAATACAAACATAAGTACAGTAAGGAGGAGCACCAAGATGAAGGCAGACAGAGTTACAATCACCATGGGCAAATAGTCAGATACAATGAATCTTTCTATAACTGAGCCACCAGAATAATAGTCACTACAGGCAGTGTTGTTAACATCCACGGCTCGTCTCTCTGGAGGTTTGGTTTCGTTATTGTAGCAGGTTATATCTTCACTGTCGATAACTTTGCGCGCATTGTCTGCCACCCAGATCTGAAGTTCTTGCAGGAACTTGCAGCGACACGACCAGTTATTGTTACCCAATGATATCTCCACAAGGTACGAGTTTAGCGTCAGTTGCCAGACAGGGAAGGTTATTAAGCGATTTCCGTCCAGCCTCAATATTTCCAGCGACCTCAGTGGAAGAAGAGTGAGGTTGCCAATGAATGCAATTATGTTATTCTGCAGATAAAGCTCTCTAAGGTGTGACAAGTGCTCGAACTCGAAACCTTTCAGTTCATGGATTTTATTGTCTTCAAGATGAAGTATCTGTAGAGAATTAAGGCCATTAAACGTACGATTCTGAATAGTTTCCACTCGACTAGCGTTTACATACAGAACTCTCATATTTTTGCGGCCTATAAACACGTGATTTTGCAGTTCACCGAAGTTGTTCCCGTCCAAATAGAGTTCGGTGACATCCATCGGGATCCGGCGTGGTATCACATTCGTTGCAAGGCCCGAGCAGTCCACCAAATTGGTTGTCCAAGTCTGGTCATGATAACAAGTACAATTAGATGGGCACGTCATCTCACAGTCACATGCGTCAAAATCACAACAGTGGCATAAGGCGAAACAATGGGTCTCGTATGTGCACAGGAAGTTGGAAGGCTTGGCGTCGATGGCTGGCAGTGTGGGCAGACCACGCGAATACGTTATCTTGCACAAGATATTATCCAAATCCATGACTCTTGGGTGCTGGCGGAGTTGTGTCATGTTGTTTATCATCTGAAGCCATTCCATGGAGCAGTCACAATGGAAAGGATTTCCACCGATATAAAACTCTGGGGCAGTTTTATTCTCAGGAATCGGCGACAACCTCAGTGCATTCAGGTCTAGTTTCACGAGTTCATTAGCATACATGTCAACCCTCACAAGATCATGCTTGTCCAAGAATGTGTTAGTGTGAACAAGAGAGATCATATTATTATTTATGAATAGTAGCTCCACGCTGTTGGGGACGGACATGGCAGATATTTCAGTTATTCTGTTATGGCTGGCATCCAGAGTCTTAATATGGAGTCCTGTCTGAATCTTGAAATAATTTTCCAGGCGTTCAATAAAGTTCCCGTGTATGTCGAGCCACTTGAGGTTGACAGGAACGAAAGCGTAGTCAAACCATACCAAATGGTTGTCAGACAAGTTGAGCCACAGAAGGCTAGAGAGTGTGTTGAACACACCGTTGATGTCAGTGAGGAAGTTAGCGTCCAGGCGAATAGCTTCTAGCTGCGTGTTGTGTTCGAACGTGCCTCGCTCGATTTGTTGCACTTTGTTTTTGGCAAGGTTAAGTACCTGAAGACTCGTGAGGTCCCAAAACATGCCCCGAGTTAAGTTGCCAATATTGTTGCCGATTAAACGAAGCCCATTCAACTGCTGTAGATTCCTAAACGAGCCGTTATGGAACTCACTAATTTGATTTTCACCCAAGTCCAGTGTTTTCAGGAAGGACAATTCCTTCAATGCTTCAGGTACATTAGACAAAGCGTTGGAGCTCAAATCGAGTTCTTTCAAGTCGGAACAATTTCTAAACGCTTGAGGATCAATATTCACAACCAAATTATTGCTAAGTGTAAGCTTGCTTAGCACGAAAAGTCCGTTAAAAAGGAGGGCGCTGATGTGGTGGAGTCTGTTGTCGGCTAGGTTAAGGGTGTGTAGGTTATATAATGGAAGGAAAGCGTTATCTTCAATGTAACCAATAGAGTTGTTCCTCAAGTCAAGTATCTGAAGAAAGAACAGATCCTTGAACGTATGGGCGCCGATACGTGTCAGAGCATTGTGTGAGAGGTTTAGGACGATGAGTCTGATGAGGCCGACGAATGTCCCGTCGTCAATGTGACTGCTACTCAGCTGGTTGTCAGACAAGTCTAGGACGAGAAGTTGTTCAAGCCGACGGAAGAGGCCGCGTGCCAACTCGTACAGAGAGTTGTGCTGTAGGTATATCTCCCGCATCTCCATAGAACTCGCGAACAGACCTCCAGGAAGAGATTCCAGTTTGTTGTTGGACATATTGAGGACCCTTAGAGAGGTTAATCCGGATAAGGCATCTCCATAAACCTCTGCCAATTCGTTGTGCTGCAGGTATAAATTCTGGAGTTGCCGAAGTCTGGTAATACCGGAGTCTGCCGGCAGAATCTGCAGCTGGTTCCACGAAATGTCTAACGATCTGACATCCAGCCCCCCAACACACTCAGCCCTGGGAACACTGGTGCTCGCTTCGTATATATTTCGTCTCGTGATATAACCAAGCATGTCAGCATCACGGATGCGGTTTCGTGTTAGATTTAAAGTCTGTAGATTCGCCAGATAACAGAATATGTCTTCGGGTAAGGAGCGTATGTTGTTGCCGGAGAGATCAAGTGTCTGCAGCTCTTTCAGTCCACGCAAACTATTCGCAGCCAGTTCCATAGCCTTGCTCGAGCCCCACTCAGCATTGTGCGTGTTAATCGATAAACGTTTTAAGTCTCTGAGTCCATCAAACGCGTCAGCAGGTAACTGCAGAATTTTACAATCCTCGATAACCAGTTCTTCGAGCTGGTTCAGTCTCTGAAAGGCGTGAGGTGGCAAAGAACTTTCGAAAAGCAATACTTGGCTACACTGCACCCGGAGCCGGGCGGTGCCCTCGACTTGCAGAGCGCTGAGGTTCGACCCGTCTCCGTCTAGCGTTCGCACCCGACACGACACCGCCACGCGACCCGAGCTAGTCTCATTGTTGTCCGCGCTCCACGTACACTGATCGGGGGTTTCGTATTTACTGAAGCTTAGTGTTGCGATGGGCGACAGTAGCAGAAGAAACGCAAGCGTGAGGCGGCTGGAATCTACGCGGATGCCTGTCAGTGACACCCACTCCGCTGCCTGCACTCGACGCCGGCGACAGGCCATAGTCTTACGCACACTGTTTCACTGATTTACACACTGATGATAATGCAATTTATCATGAGATCCAATGCGAATGATGATTTATTCTCGCCGACATGTTTTACCCCTGTAGCCGCCTTGAAGACGTCGAAATACAGAAGCACATTAGTATAGTCACATACGTAATAAAGCAGTCTAGCAGCATATCCGAAATAATGTCAATCAAACACACGCGTTTGTTTCTATTAGCCACGACGCAATGCCCATAATAGGTTATACAAACTGAATAACGCGCACTTAAACAGGATTAAGACTGTATTGTGAATGCAGGTTTCGAACGTGGCTTTACTGACACACGAAGTCCTACAGAAGTGTTGTTCACCACGCGTTGCACAGACATAAAAATGTATTACGAGTGGCATCCAACTGAATACTTTATAAAATTAGCACTCCTCATTACACGAATTCACATAAAACACGTCCTGACTTAACTCCAGAAACGAAATACTTTCATTATAACGAGCTTGTGTTCGCGAACGCGACCCGAGCGCCGGACTAATATCACACTTCACTCTCACAACAGCTATTCGTAACTACTAACTGACCGTCCGTAGTGAGCGGCTCGCTATATAGGCTGTGTCGCCCGCCGAGTGTAGGCAGAACTGTGCGCCTCTCCCCACTACGCGGCAGCACTGAGCAGCGCATGTCTCTGCAGCTAACACTACCCAGCAGCCGAGATAACAGGAGCACATAAAAACGTGGTCTTGTTGCTGATGGTTGTGGCGTTATGACGTTTCGTAAAGTGAAGGAATAGTTCGAAATCGCACGTCGTGATTGGAAATTTAAAAATTATATTTCTATTGGAATAACTGAATTTTCTAGTTTTTCTTAAATTGCACTGTTCTTAAGCCATCTGAATGAAATGAAATGACGACAACGTTATGACTGAGGTAGAACTTTTTTTATTCGTAAATTTATTGTAATTTTCTCAACCGATTACTGGATGAATCAAATTGTAAATGACACTTACCTTGTAAGATATGAGGTTCCCACAGCGGTGGTTCTGAAGAGTCCTATCTTGTGGGATATAGCGCCGTGTAGGGTCTGAGGCTCTCACAGCAGTGGGTATGATGAGTTCTACCTTCTGGGATACAACGCCATGTAGTCTGCGGGCTACCCAGTTTTATACCAGAGAACACAGAATTCCTCGGACATTTATTTTACTTAAAACAGATTTCATTGCCTGTGGTTCTGTATGGGTGTGAAACTTTACCTCTGATATTAAGGGAGGAACATAGACTGAGGGTGTTTCAGAAGAGGGTGTTGAGAATATTTCGACCGAAGAGAGATGAAGTGACAGGAAACTGGAGAAAACTGCACAATGAGGAGCTTCATAACTTGTACTCTTCTCCAAGTATAATTAGAATGATCAAGTCAAGGAGGATTAGGTGGGCAGATCATGTAACACGAATGGGGGAGAAGATGAATACATATAGGATATTGGTTGGGAAGTCAGAAGGAAAGAGACCACCGAGAAGACCGAGGATTAGGTGGGTGGACAATATTAAAATGGATCTTAGAGATATGGGATGGATTGGAATGATCTGGCTCAGGATAGGGACCAGTGGAGGGCTCTTTTGAACACGGTAATGAACCTTTGAGTTCCATAAAATGCTGGGAAATTCTTGAGTTGCTGCAGATTTGGCTTCTCCGCCAGAAGAGCTCAGCTCGATGAGTGAGTAAAACTGACTTCATGTACATAGAGCTGAATTGTTCTTGGGAAATTAGACAGTAGCTCATGTAATCAATGAGTTCCTTTTCCCTCTTTTGTATCTCAATGCTTAAATCCCTTGTTCACAAGAGTCCGTCACTGTTTCCTATCCTGAGCCAGATGAATTGGGTCCACACCTTCATAACCTATTTCTGTAAGATAAATTTTAATATTATCCTACCATGTGGAACGACATATAGGACTACAAAGTGATCTTTTTACTAAATATATATTGTTACGCGTATTAGTGACTGTAGATGGGGTTTGGTTTGGCGAATAGATTTATTGATCATTATTCTGGTCGTAACTACAAATAACTATAGCACTATTGCTGATTTCCACACTACAAATCACTCAGCACTAAGTTTTCTCATCCTGTTGCCACTAGTCTTTACTTGGCAACAGCTGTCCGCAATGGCTATTTCTCTGTCGTGTCTTCACTAGACGTTTCTGGTAACGAACCTTGGCAATGGAGATTCTTCGGCTTCGGTTGCCCGCTGGTTAACACTCCACAGCTGAACCCTCAACCCTCAATTGTTTGCAACGTCGATTATCTTCAAGATAACTTCTCTTCACGGACCCCACGAAAAACACCGTCTTCTGTTGTCAAGAAAACGTGTTTATTGGACCGTTACCTAGCAATGGATATATGTGAACCACATAGGAAAAACCTCTTGCGACACTGGTTCTATTGCTGCGTGCACATATTTCGGGCGTTGCCTAGAAATAGGTCTACAGTTCATATATATATTAAACATTTCTCCCATGCATACTGCATGTCCTGCCCATCGCAACCTGTTTTTATTTGTGAGAGAATGTATATTAGGAAGCTCCTAATTTTTCCAGTTTCTCTAGACTCCTTCTTCGCTCTTCGAACCATCAGTCTGTTTATAGGCGTGCTAAAAATGAAAGATTTTTTTATTGCTAGTGGGGTGGGACTAATTCCCTTGTACTGCGGCCACTTCTGGCCTATTGTACCAGCCCCAGATGATAGGTGAAGGTGATTGTGGAGCAATTGGTGGAATGAAGATTGGCAGGGGAAACCGAAGTACTCGGAGAAAACCTGCCCCAGCGCCAGTTTGTCCACCACAAATCCCACTTGACCAGACCCGGGATCGAACCCGGGCCGCCGCGATGGGAAGCCAGCGACTAACCGCTTGAGCTGTGGCGCGGCCTAAAATGAGAGTTACTAGTTACCCTCCCACCGTGTCCGCAGACTCAATTAGGTTTTCCAATATTAAAGTTTCCGTACGTGTTACAGGGTGAGCAAACGCATTAATTAAAGTAAGTTTATATGACGATGTCTGTGTTTAGGTACAGTATAAACGTTTAGTTCGTAAAGTTAGAGCTAAAATGGAAGTTCGTTTTGAAATAATTTGAGACGAAGAAGTCCTTCATTGCTTATCCTGCGTTTACATGAGCGCACCCCCCTATCTCCCCATTCAGAGGTAGCGTTCTGTCCACATTTTGACATCTAATTTCCGCAGTTTCGATCATTTGAACTAACTTTCTTTTTAAACTTTTCATGAGAGAAATTTCATGATGTCCCGTTCCCGGAAGCGAACAAGCAAACGCCCAGTCAGTCAATCGACAATTGAAGTTTCGTAATCAGTATGGGTGCCAGTGGCGGTGTTGCGAACACGGCAATAAATATTCGGGCTCCGTAAAAGTTGGGAATTTCGTGACTAGCTGAACGAAAAGTACTGTGCTCCATGAAATTAATCACATTCCCAATCAATAGCTAATAATAATAATAATAATAATAATA